GGCTCATGTTCAGGCGGCTGTCAACCAACACCCCCAGGTCCTTTTCCGCCAGGCAGCTCTCCAGCCACTCCTCCCCCAGCCTGTAGCATTTCATGGGGTTGTTGTGACCGAAGTGCAGGACCTGGCACTGAGCCTTGTTGAACCTCATACAGTTGGTCCTGACCCAACGATCCTGCCTGTCCAGGTCCCTCTGCAGGGCCTTCCTACCCTCCAGCAGATCGACACTTCCACCCAACTTGGTGTCATCTGCAAACTTACTGAGGGTGCACTCGATCCCCTCATCCAGATCATCAATGAATATGTTGAACAGGACCGGCCCCAACACTGAGCCCTGGGGAACACCACTCGTGACCGGCTGCCAACTGGATTTGACTCCATTCACCACTACTCTCTGGGCCCAGCCGTCCAGCCAGTTTTTAACCCAGCGCAGAGTGCACCCATCCAAGCCATGAGCAGCCAGCTTCTCCAGGAGAATGCTGTGGAAAACGGTGTCAAAGGCCTTACTAAAGTCCAGGTACACAACATGCACAGCTTTTCCCTCATCCAATAAGCAGGTCACCTTGTCATAGAAGGAGATCAGGTGAATCAAGCAGGACCTGCCTTTCATAAACCCATGCTGGCTGGGCCTGATCCCCTCATTGTCCTGCACATGCCATGTGATGGCATTCAGGATGATCTGCTCCATAACCTTCCCCAGCACCGAGGTCAGGCTGACAGGCCTGTAGTTCTCCAGATCCTCCTTCCAGCCCTTCTTGTAGATGTGTGTCACACTTGCTAACCTCCAGTCAACTGGGACCTCCCCAGTTAGCCAGGACTTCTGACAGATGATGGAAAGTAGCTTGGTGAGCACTTCCACCAGCTCCCTCGGTACCCTTGGGGGAGAAGCTATCCTCAGTGCATTCCAGGAGTCTTCTGGATTGCCTACAGCTCACTGTGCTACTTTTCCAGCAGATGTAGGGGTGGCTGAGTCCCCCAGCAGGATGAGACCCTGCGAGCACGATGCCTCCTGTAGCTGGAGTAAGAAGGCTTTGTCAGTAGGCTCCCTTTGATGGGGCAGCCTGTAGTAGACACCAACCACAAGGTTCCACTTGGTGCCTCGGTCTCTGATTCTTACCCATAAGCTTTCAGCCTGCTCGTGGCTACTCTTCAGAGACAGCTCTTCACACTCCATCCATTTCTTGACATAGACCCCTCTGCCCCTCCTTCCTCGCCTGTCCCTTCTGAACAGCCTGTAGCCATCAACAGCCACACTCCAGCCATGGGATTCATCCCACCAAGTTTCAGTAATGGCAACTAGGTCGTAGCTTTCTAGCAGCATGGTGGCTTCCAGCTCCTTCTGTTTGTTGCCCATGCTGTGTGCATTGGTGTAGAGGCACGTCAGCTGGGCTGTCGGCCGTGTGTCACCTTTAGAGGAACACCCCTTAATTCCTTTGAGGTATTTCACTGGTGTTCCCCTGTTGGCTCCTATTACCTCAGGAGCCCCTGGCTCATCTCCCTAAGACTTCAAGTGTGCTGCAGTGTAGCCAGCACGTCCTGGAGCAACAGCCCTCGCTAGCACCCCATTCCTCTAACCTTGGTGTGTCATCCCATGGCTTGTCACAGGCAAGCCTGATATTATCCCCCTCCTCCTTCAAGTCCAGTTTAAAGCTCTGTCCAGTTTAAAGCTCAAGTCCAGTTTAAAGCTCTGTCAATGAGCCCCACTAGCTTGTGAGCAAAGGCCCTCTTCCCCCTTTGAGAAACGTGAATCCCATCTGATGCTGGCAGGCCTGGTGCCGTGCAGACCATCTCATTATTGAAAACCCAAAAATTCTGGTGGTGACAGCAGCCACGGAGCCATCTGTTAATAGACTGGGTCTGTCTGTTTCTTCCAGTGTCACTGCCTGCAACTGGAAGGAGAGAGGGAAAAATAACCTGTGCTCCAGATTCCCTTACCAACCATTCCAAGGGCCTGAAGTCTCTTTTGATTGCCCTTGGACTATGTGTTGCGGCTTCGTCGCCACCCACATGGAAAAGCAGTAATGGGCAATAGTCCAAGGGCCGTACCAGGCTAGGAAGTTTCCTGGTGATGTCCTTAACACGGGCCCAAGGGAGGCAGCAGACTTCCCTAAGAGGAGGGTCTATCCAGCATATTGGACCCTCTGTTCCCCTCAGAAGGAAGTTGCCTACAACCATAACCCATCTTTTCTTCCTCATGAAGGTGGTTGTGATACGGTGGTAGGCCTTTCTGACCTTGGCAGCACCTCTGGTGTAGATGGACCGTCATCCACATCATCCATTGGCTGGCCTTCCACATCCAGAGCCTCACACCTGTGGTACAGAGGCACCTGGAAGGCGAGGTGGGCAAGGAGGGGGTTTCCCTGCTGCCCCGCGCGTGGACTTGCTTCCATTCACTCCTTTCCTTTAAGCTATTGCCTTCAGCCTGGCAGAGGGAGGCTACAGGATCCCCTTGATCTTCTTTTCTTTCTGATGGCCATTCCTGTTTCTGTCTCATGGAGGGCAGAGCATGGTTACCCCCGTCCTGATGCTCCTTAACTTCCTCTTGTAGCTCTGCCACCAGGCTGAGCAAGTCATCCACCTGGTCACACCTCACACAGCTGCTCTCACTGCTGCCACCTGTTACCAGTGAAAGGCTCTGGCCCTCTCTGCAGCCCGAGACCTGGGTGGCTGCATGTTCTCCTGGGAGCTCTGTCTGTTGCCACATCAGTTCCGGTGAGTGCAGAGGACATGGCTTTTTGCTGGGTGGCTACCATTGCTAAGCTCCTTCTGGGAGAGCGATGACCACCAACCGAGCTGACCTTTTGAGCTGGCAGGGTGACGATGCCTTTCCTGCGTGAACTGCCGTGCCATGCCCTGTTTGCCTGCTCTGGTCGTTTGTGCTCCCCAGGCTGCTTTTCATAGGTGTGGGGGTGGCAGCGGTTGCTCTGGCAATGCCCAGGCCTCATCAGCGTCTCCCAGGACAGCTGCCAGCTTCTGGCAGGTTGTCCCGCTGCCCTGGCATTTCCCTGCCTGAGGAAACCCCCACGTGCCCTGAGATCTGCCACTCTGCTGTGGACCGGGCCAGCTCCGGAGCAGCTCACATCAACAACATTCTGAAAAAATGCTGTTTAAGTAACTTCGCTCTTGTCTGGAAGTTGGTTGATTGCATATAAATAGAAAATACAGCTCGGTTTTGGTGGGGAAGATGTTTTGATTCAGTTAAGTACCCACCTCTCGCTCAAAATAACTATTTTCTCATGTTCCTTTTGACAAAATATTTTCAAGCCTGTCTCCCATCTTTCTGAAGGAATGAAAAATGTGCCCATCTTGCCAATTCACCATTTAGAATAAAAACAGAGAGTCCTGACTGATTCAGCTGCACTTGCCTCAGCTGAAACGCCTCTGTTGATGTCGCCGATACCTGGACCACAGTTTGAAGGGGACTTCATTTGCCGAAGGAGCAACAGAAGGAGCACAATTGATGCAGCCCTTCCTACAGGCGCCTTCTCAAAGGTCTGAATCCATCCCGTGTCCCAGGACTCTGAGCAAGCGCTATGGGACATGAACCGTGCTCTGCGTGACTCTTGAGGGACGCCCATCAAACGTGCATCTGTCAAGAACACGTAAAAATCGGAGAACATTTATTTTTTCATCATCCGATTTTTCTGTCAGAGTGAAACGCTGGCATTTGCTAAGGCTCACCAGGTTACAAAGTTCTGTCGAAGCTGGGAAATGTGAAGTTTTCACTAATGGCTCGTTCTGCCCTTCTTTTATTTTTTTCATTTTTTTTTACATATGCACATTACAGAAGATTGTGGATTTAACAGCGATGACACCCTAAATAACAGCACTGATTAAATCAAGAACATGGTACATACTCTTTTTAGAGAACATTAACAAAAACTGGCAATTCTGTATTCCGACGTAAGTGGTCCAAGTTTGTATCTCCACGGACGGCCTGGGGACGCTGCCCGGCACACAGAAAAAGCAGCTCCCAGCCACTCCCGTCCACCGCATCAACCTCTTGGTCAATCCTTACGTCAACGGCGTCCGCTGTGATGGGTGTCCCATATTGCGTTTTCTGTTTTTGGTAGCTCACAGCCCACGCTCCCTCTCTTGTGTATCGTAACGACGCATCTTGAGGCGATTTTTTTCGTGACAAGGTGGGGGGAGATCTCTATGAGGAGACATCTTTAACGCAGGCAAGGGAGCAGGCAAGGGAGCAGGCAAGGGAGCAGGCAAGGGAGGCTCGGCGCCCCCCGCAGGCCGTATGAGGCTGCCCAGAGCGGGCCGCGCCGTGGGCGCTCTGATACCGCGACGCCCGTCCGCGCCCTGCCGACGCTCCCGTCATCCCCCCGCTACGCTGCGATTGGCGGAGCGCTCCCCTGACGGCATTGGTCAGGGCTGCTCTGCCAGTCGCGGGTTGGACAGCGGCGCTGACGACTCGGTTGCGTCGCAGTTCGTCGGGTCTGCGATTGGCTGAGGGCGCCATTATAAAGCTCCCCCGCGCACACGCGCCCCTTTTCCTCCCCGGCGGCCCAAGGTGCTGTGTCCTTCAGCTGAAGCTAAGGCCGTCCCACCCGGCGACTGGCACCGCGCCCCCGCCATGGCCTCCGTCTCCGAGCTCGCCTGCATCTACTCCGCCCTCATCCTGCACGACGACGAGGTCACCGTCACGGTGAGTGCGGGCCCCGGCCCCGCCGCCACAAGATGGCGGCGAGCCGCGGCATGGGGGGGG